CGCGATCCCCTCTGCTGCGCTCTCCTCCAGGAGCTGCGGAGCGCTGCGCCAGCGCGGGCCGCTGAAGGGAGCGCGGGCCAACTGCGCCTCGAGCGAGCCACGCTTCGCCCTGCGCCTGGCCCAGCTCCGCGAAGAGGGGGCCGCGGCGCGCCCGCGCCGGGGGCGGCGCCTTCCCCCACTCCAGGCTCGACGACGGGGGGCGGGCGAGACGTCCCGTGGACCGCTGCCGCCAGCTTGCCGCCCTCGGGCACGTCCTGGCCCGCGCGGCCGCCGCCGCCCGAGGCTGCGCCTGCCGCGGCTGGAGGGCCCACCCAACGTCGCAGGGGGTCCGTGGGCAGCTGCGCCCGCCGCCAGAGCAGCAGCCCTCACCACCCACCAAACCACCCCAACCCAACCCGAAGGCCTCAATTTGCCCTCCATTTCCAGTTTTGTTGGGGGGGTCGGGGAACACTGAAAAAACACGTATGGAGCCCGTATCCCCCCCCCAACCCGAAATTGGGGTCTTCGGGTTGGGTTGGGGTGGTCTGGTAGGTAGTCAAGCCCGCGCGGCAGGGAAGGCCGCCCCCCCTGGCCTGAATCTCGGAGTGGATGGACTGCAGCAGCTGGGTGCCCTGTCCCGCCCGTGCCGAGGACTGCGAGCCACTGGCGAGGGTATGCAGGGCGAGGATGTTGGTCGCCATGGCCGCGAGGTCCAGACCCTGATGGCCCGCGGTCGCACGAGTGACCGCCGCCCTCGCTCCCGACACCTCGCGCTGCAGCGCCTCCATGTCCCACCCGCTCCTCCGCCTCCGAGTGTTGCGCGTCGACGTCAAGCTCCTCCTTCGCTTTGAGAGCGGGCCGCTCCTGAAGGCAATGCAGCACATCCTCGGGTGGTCGATGACGGCGTTCCTCAGCCTCAAGCACCTGCAACTCTCGCGCGGCGGCGACGACCAGAGGATGCTCCTCGTCGTACTTGAGGCGCCTGAGGGCCGCCAAGCCCTTGCGGGCCCGCACCGCAGGCTGGGGCTCGTCGGACTGGTCCTTGGCTGGCGAAGAGCCTCCAGCATCTGCCGCGGGCCCAGCAGCTCCAGCTCCATCACCAGGACCGCGGCGACGGTGACGAGCGGCAGACGCGGACCTGGTGCGAGAGCCCGCCGTGTCGGCGGCCTTGGCAGGCAGGCGCCCCTGCCTGTCGCGCCCGCACTTCCAGCACGGATGGCGCGAGCCGAAGTTGGTCTTGAAGCCGCGCAGCCTGGAGGCGACGCAAGCCCACTGCTGGTCGGCCGCCCCCGCCGCCGCCCACGGCGCGGGAACTCCTGTGGCCCCTGGCGCCATGGAGCCAGCCGCGCTGCGCAGGTGCTCGCCGTGGCGCTGCGCGAGGATGTGGCGGGCGCGCGCCTGCCGCAAGAGCAGGCGGGCGGCCGCGCGCGCGAGCCGAGCCCGCCTGAGCCAGGCAGGAGATGGCGGGCGCCTGCTGCGGCGCTCCCTCGCCGTCGGAGGAAGGTAAAGGAGATGTGCACCGCCGCCCGCTGAACACGGACCAGCGGCTGGGGTTTCGCGGGAAACGGGCGGCCCCAGCTGCCCGAAGGCAACACGCTTGAGGAGGGAGGGGGATGAGGAGGAGGAGGAGGAGGAGGAGGAGGAGGAGGAGGAGGAGGAGGAGGAGGAGGAGGAGGAGGAGGAGGACGCGAATGAGGAAGACTATGAGGAGAAGGGCGAGCAGAAAGGCCAGAGGCCTCTTGGATGCCTCTCGGTGTCTCTTCGGGTGTCTCATGGTAGATTCTTGGGGGCCTCTTGGTGCGTCTTGGGGGCCTCTTCGCGGTCGCTGGGGCCTTTTGGGGCATCGTGGGTGCCTCGGGGAGCCTCTTGGGGCCCCTTGAGAGTTTCTTGGGAGCCTGTATGGGACCTCTTGGAGGCCTCTTCGGGCCTCCTGGGCGCCTCTTGGGGCCTTCTTGGGGCATGCTTGGGAACCTTGGGGGCCATCTTGGGCCCACGTTGGAGGAGATCGATCAAAGAAGGGGGGGGTCCTCAATTAGCCCCCCCCCCCAGAAGGGCCAAATGGGCCCTAACACCTAAGTCAAACTAATTATGTGTGCCTTCTCGACGAGGCCGTTTTGGACGCTCCAGCGCGCCGCGGGGCGCCCCTTCTGGGTCCAGGGGTAGGGGGTACGGGAGAGGGGTAAACCCCTCCGGGGACGAAGGGAGTTGGAAGAGGAACGGCCCTAAACCATTCACACCCTAAAGGGCTGGTGTAATTAGCTTGGCCAAGCGCTCCTCGCCTATCAGTGTATGGCTACCTCGCTCAGCCTAGCTCGGCTCAGCTTTGCTCGTTGGGTCGCCAGTTCGCAGCTGGATTCGTATATCATGCCGTTGCCTGTTCCATCCATACTTTGTACTATCGTATATCACCAGCCTCGAACGTATCCCTATCCCTAAGATTGGCACGCCAAAAGGCGATGACACTCTTAGGGATGCGCCCTGAAAAAACTAAGGGAATCCCTAAGATTGGCATTGTGTCGAGGCGATGCCCAGCTTAGAGACAGGGACATGTTCCAGGCTGGTAAGTATACTGTATCCTGTGGGATTCGCAGTACATGGTGCCGGAATCCCACGATGGTGAATTTTCTGGTGGGGTACGGGGCCATGGACAAGCCACGGTGCAACGATTGTTGAATCGTCAGGGGCTAGCGGGTGGAACGGTGTCGAGCTTTTACGTTCAGGGTCGATCGAGTTTGCAAGTCCAATGCAAGTATCTCGTTCTACGCCGAAAAGGGTGGAAACGTGCCTTGTGCATGTTTTCATTGGAGTGTTAGGGGGATCATTTGGAATACGAGGAGGCTCCTGGACTGGAAACATCAGGACTTGAGTCTTGTCATGCCTCAACCCGTGTGTCTTTCGGCTCCTCCTTTCTCTGTATCCATTTTGCTTAAGAGGGGTGTTTGGTTTAGTGGCGACGTTCACGGAGTTCAAGTGGTTGCGCCTAACGCGCTGTTCAAACGGGCCCCGGAAGAAATGCCTTTGGCTGTGAATTGCGCAGTGCCTTGCCCTTGCAGTGCCCTTCCAGTGCTCTCGCCGCGGAAGCGTTAACTGCCAGTTTCAAGTGCGGAGTGGCAAGTCCAGATCGGTTGATTCTCGGCACGATTTGTGCTTTGGTTTCTTTGGAGATCTGCTTGGCTGGTTTCTGGGACCCCTGGCCCCTTGAGGGGAATTTGGAGGGAGGGGGATGAGGTCGGAGGAATGAGGAGGTAGTGGCTCTCGCCTTAGCGCCAGGCGCAAACGTTTTTTTGTATACATTTGCAAGAGTTTCGAGAATGCAGGGCGGCTCCTGTTCAAGCAAGGACTCTCGCCTTAGCGCCGCGCGCATTCGTTTTCAAAGTTTACATTCGTTTCGCGGATGGGTTGACGTACCAGAAGTGGTGTTTTGGCATGATGTCGGGATGTCAGGGCACACCAGTCACGTTGATTCGCGGGGTTGAAGTCCCAAGAATGGCGTTTTGGTGGGATCCATCATCGTCAAGACGCAGCAGTAATGGTGACTCGCGATGTTGAAGTCCCAAGAACGGTGTTCTGGCGCAGTTCCGGATGTTCAAACGGTTGTCTTCCAACGGGGCCATTTCTTCTCTTTCAGTGAACATGAACCCTCGTAGGGGCTTGTGAAGAGGGAATTTGGAGTGAGGGCTTACTGGAATATCGTTGATGAGGCTTGAGTTTACACTGGTCATCTTCCTCCTCGTGTGCTCTCAAGCCCGCGGAAGCGCGCGAGTGCGCGAGGGGGGAGGGGGAGGAGGGATGGCAGGGGGGAGGAGGGATGGGAGGGGCAACGGGGCAGGAGGAGGAGGAGGAGGAGCGAGCGAGGAGCGATCAGGAGTGAGGAGGAGGAGGAGGAGGAGAATGAGGAAGAGGAAGAAGAAGAAGAGGAGGAGGAGGAGGAGGAGGAGGAGGAGGAGCGAGGACCAGTGTACACCCAAGACCCATTAACGCTGCTGCAATAAACCCTCCAAGTTCCTTTTTCATAGGTCCCTGCGAGGGTCCATGTTCACAAAGGGACGTGCCCCGTTGGAAGACAACCGCCTGGAAATCGTGAGCCGTGCCAGAACGCAATTCCCGGGACTTCAACGCTGCGAGTCCACATTGTTGTTGCGTCTTGCCGACCCTGAATTGTGCCAGAACATCGCTATCGTAATTCGAACACCGCGCACCAACGTAGCTGTTTGGCCCTGGCAATCCCACATCGTGCCAAAACATTAGTTTTGGGGCGTCAGCCATAAAAGTACCTGAACCTGCTGCGGAGTCTTCCGACGAATGTGCGCGGCGCTAAGACGAGAGTCGAGTCGCATGTTGAAAAGGTAGCGCCCTCCATCCGTGACACGCGTGCAAGCTTTTAGGACGAATGCGCGCGGCGCGAAGGCAAATGCCACGTTGGAAACCGTGCGCCCTCCATCCGTGCAGTTGTTGCAAGTATTCTGGGAGGTGGGGAGCAAGGGGATGAGCCGTAGGAGGGAACACGAGGGGGAGCAGGATGGGAGGAGAGGGTCAGCAGGGGAGACGGAGGAGGAGGAAGAGGAGGAGGAGGAGGAGGGACGATCATACATGCTGGGGAAGCCTCAGGCGAAACGCCCGGCCCGCCCTACTGACACGCCTCGGGGTGCGACATGGAGTTGTTCACCAGGAGCCACCAGGAACATGGACAGAGGAGCGAGCAGGAGGGGGGGGAGCGAGGAGCGAGGATCATCGAGGGGGAGAGAGGATGAGCGATCAGGAGGAGGAAGAGGATGAGCGATCAGGAGGAGGAGGAGGAGGAGGAGGAGGAGGAGGAGGAGGAGGAGAAGCGATCGGGAGGGAGAAGGGAGGAACGAGGAGGGAGCATGGCAGTTGCGAGAGAGGAGCGGTCATCACCAGGAGGAGGAGGAGGAGGAGGAGGAGGAGCGAGCGAGCGAGGAGCGAGGAGCGAGGAGCGAGGATGAGCGAGGAGCGCGGAGCGCGGAGGGAGCGAGGGAGGAGCGAGGGAACGCGACGCCGAGGTGATCCTGGACGGCTTCCGTCTCAACGGCGTGCTGCGCGGGGGCGGCGGCCAGGCCGCGCTCCGCCCGCGCGGGCGCCCCGCCGCTCGGGGGGGGGGGGGCACCGAAGGCGGGGATGGATCGAGGGAGGGGGTTTGGTTTTCTTGTTCTCCTACTCAACGCAGCCGGGTTGTGCAGCGCGCGCGGTGACAATGGGCTTGCGCGCCGAATGGTTGGCGGCAGTTGTGCGCGGTTGCACTCGGCGGCGCGCGCGCCCATCATCCGCGGGCGTGCGCGCCGGCATCCGGGTCAATTTCGATCCGTATGGGAACCAATCTTGGGGCATCTGGGGCCCTCTTGAGGCAATCTTGGGCCATCTTAGACGCCCGGCGCCCCCCCCCGACCCCTGGGGCGGCGGAGGGCAGGGCCGCGCCTTCCCAGCGGCGAAAAGCGGGGTTGGAAGAGCAAACGCTTTAGACCACGCCCGCCCAGAGAGCTGGTCGGAGTAGGGCTCAGTCGGCTGCATCAGGGGGGGTGGGCGCCCAACCGGGACGTCGCCGCGCTCGAGGGCGCCCCGCGAGTGCGCGCGCGGCTGCGTCTGGATCAAACGGGGATACGGGGGACGAGGAGGAAGAGAGAAAAGGGGGGAGGATAGAGGGGAGGCGATGGGGGGGCAGATCGAGGAGGAGGGAAGGGGAGGAGGGGGGGAAGGTGGGGGGGATGAGGGAGGGGGCGCGCGTGCGTGGTGGCACGTGGTTTCTACAGCGCGCGTGGCGGCAACAGGGTTGTGCGCCGTGTGTGGCGGCACTTGCGCGTGGCGGCAGTCGGTGCCGTGTTCCCGTCGTCGGTGGGCGCGCGCGGCGGCGCCCGGGTCGGGCCTGGGCGGGGAGGACGAGTCAGCGGAAAAGCGATGGGCGGAACAGCTGGCGAGGAGGGCCATCCGGAAAAGCAGGAGGGCGACGACGGCGTTGGCCTGGCGGGTGCGCGTCCAACTCAGAGGCCCATGTCCACGACGTTCGTTGGCGTCGCGTTGGCGCCGCGCCGCGTTGCCAGACCCCAGATACACAGATAAGCCGAATCTGTGTTTTCTGATTCGCTCCGTGACCCCCCTTCTGGTAACAGACCCACGGTGGATCCCAACATGAGATCTCCCCAGATTTCTTGCCACCTCTTCTCATTTCAATGCGTCCCCGGCCTCCCCCCCCCTGGGCGACGCCAGCCATCACTTGCGCCCCCCCCTCTTCGACGCCCCCTTCTTGGCCGCTCCCGAATCTGGACCTCCCATAAGGGCGATGCCAAAAAGCGGGGTCGACTGCGCCGACATTCGCGCGCAAGCTGCCCGCGTGAGGCCACGCGTGAGTGCCCTTCGTCTCCAGCGCAGCGTGTCGCGCTGGTGGCCCGCGTAAGCCGCCGAGGTCGCCATGCCATCTCGCGTACGACTCCTTTCTCCTCGTCGCTAAGAGAGGGTCCGAGCAGGTGGGGTCAGGGGATCGCGCCGCATCGCCGACGCATCGGCGATGCGGTTCGATGTGGAGTCCAAGTGTGCCCACGCCGACGGCGCCGATGCGTTGTCGACGTCGACGATCGCCGATGTATCGGCGATGCGGCGCGACCCTCCGACCCCACTCACTCCGATCTCATCGAGGAGGCCTCTAGAACCCCACCTCCCCCTTGGAGGAGGAGGAGGAGGAGGAGGAGGAGGAGGAGGAGGAGGAGGAGGAGGAGGAGGAGGAGGAGGAGGAGGGGAGGAGGAGGAGGAGGAGGAGGAGGAGGAGGAGGAGGAGGCGGAGGGAGGAGGAGGAGGAGGAGGAGGAGGAGGAGGAGGAGGAGGAGGAGGAGGAGGAGGAGGAGGAGGAGGAGAGGAGGAGGAGGAGGAGGAGGAGGAGGAGGAGGAGGAGGAGGAGGAGGAGGAGGAGGAGGAGGAGGAGGAGGAGGAGGAGGAGGAGGGGGAGGAGGAGGAGGAGGAGGAGGAGGAGGAGGAGGAGGAGGCCCGGGTCGCCCGCGGGGGCACGAAGAGGGTCGCGCCTCGCGCGTCGCGGTCGGGGCCGGGGCGGCGGCCCTGCTCTCCAAGAGAGGCGGCACGGGGGCGCCGCACGGCGCGGCGACGCTCTCGGGGATGGACAGAACCCCCAACAGTGACACGCCGATTAGTGAGTTGTCCGTTTTCGGTTTTCGAGAGGGCGCCGTGGCCGTTATTTTCCAGGCCTGCGCTCGCCAGGTTTGGGCCGCAGGTCGTTTTCACGAAGCCGCGTTTTGCTAAAAAGGGGGGTCTGTCCATCCCCGACGCTCGCGCCGTCGTTCGGCGCTGTGTGCAGAGTCGGGTGGCCCAGCGAGGCCGAGGCGCTGGATGCCTGGGTCCTTCCACACCCTCACAGCCAAGATGCGAGCAACGAAAACGCCGTGAACATGAACCGTCGGCGCTCCGCGCGGATTTCCTGGATCCGCGCTGGGCGCCCCCCCCCCCCAGGCGCGCTCCGCGCGCCAAGGAGGGGGGCCCAGCGCAGATCCAAGAAACCCGCGCGGAGCGCCAACAGTTCATGCTCATGGCGTTTTTTGTTCCTCTATGTGCCGCGCTGGCGTCTCCCGAGGCGGCGTCGATACCCGATCCTTGGAATGTCACGGTGCGTGGTTTCCGGGCCCTCAGAGCCGAGAAGTTGTTCACCGTGCCGCATTCGAGCGCCCGAGGAGAGTCCAAGCGTGGCACGGTGACTGGGTGCCGTTGTCGTGCGATTCGGGGCTGGAGCCCTTTCGTGTCTTGTTCAGCGTTCCTTCTCATAGCACTGCTCTAGGTCTCCCACACGTGGTCGGAGCAGATGGGGTCGGAGGATCGCGCCGCATCGCCGATGCATCGGCGATGCGGCCCGATGTGGAGCCCGATTTTCTCCACGCCGGCGGCCCCGCTGCATCGGTGATTCGGCGCGCTCCCCCGACCCCCCTGTGCTCGCACCCGACCCGGGGTTGGCCTCTGATCGGCGGCGAGCGAGGGGGGGAGGCAGAAGTGGCGGGCCTTCGCGGAGGGCTCGGAGGCCCCCCCGGCCTTCCCGTGCGCCGCGCTCTCCGCCGAGCAGAGGAGACCTCCCGCCACGACCGCAGCTCGCCCTCGCCCCACCCGCGCCGAGGCCGTGCGCCAGCGGAAGGGTCGCGAGGGAGCCCCGGTGGGCGCCCCCTTCGAGGAGCGCGCCCCTTCCCCCCGGGCGGCGCGCGGGGGGGTGCGGTGTCGCAGGCCTTCAGGTTGACACCAACACCACTATCGTTATGTCGGGCGTGTCTCCCAACAGGGGGATTTTCCACGAAAAAAAAAAAAGACCAGAAAAATGCCCCCCAAAGGGCCAAAAATAATCCAAAAATAGTCCCCAGACTATGTTTTGATTATTGTTTGACTATTTTGGGGGTATTTTTTATTTTTCGTCGAAAATCCCCCTGTAGGGGGACAGGCCCGACATAACACTATCGGCGGTGTGCTTCCACCGAGGGAGATCCCGGTCTCGGCGATGGTGGTAGTCTTCAGGTGGCCGCAGTGTTACCACCAACACCAAGCTCCAGGATCGTGTGCTTCCCGTGCAGACAACCCCTGGTGCTGGTCTTGGTGCCCATTTCCAGGCTTCCAGCGGTGGCCACACAGTGCGATGCTGGCGGCGCGCGCGAGGAAGGTAGGTCAGAGGAGGAACGGTGCCCATACCTTCGGATGCAACTCCTGGGCCTGGGAGGTCAGATTCAGATTTTGCCCCAAGTCCGAAATCCGGTTCAATCCCGTTGAATCCGGCATAATCCCGTTTAATCACGCTCAATCCCGTTTCATTCACGGCGTTATCCAGCGTAACAGCCCCCCAATGAGGTTTAATTCTTTTTAATGCTTCCGACGAAGACTTCCCAGTAGTTGCCTCCGAACATACCGCTACCCTTCGCTCGTTTTCCCCTTTTTGGGGCCTCTGGGAGGCCCTCATCGCCACCGTTGGATTCGCCTCGAAATTCTGGTCAGAGCGCACCCCAGGAGGGGTCCACGGAGTAGCGGTGTCGGTATCTTTCTAGGTCTCCCAGATGGGGTCGGAGCATATGGTGTCGGAGGATTGCGCCGCATCGCCGATGCATCGGCGACGCGGCTCGAAGTGGAGCCCGATTTCCCCCACGCCGACGTCACCGATGCATCGCCGACGATATTTCGGCGATGCGGTGCAATCCTGCGACCTCTTCTATTCGGACCCCATCTTGGAGGCCTCAAACAAAAGTGTAGGGGTAGTGTATCCCCCGACCGGGGAGGTTTTTCAAACGGTGATTGTCTGGTGGGGTTGTCTGGATCCCCGCAGGGTTGTTCAAGGGGTTGTCCAGGGTAGGCCGTCTTTTCGTCATCAATCAGAGTGGGTTTGTCTGGGTTGTCTGAGGGGTTGTGCGGGGATTGGGCACGGTAAGGACATTGGACAAGGAAGCTTCAAATAAGGAGCTCAGGGCCTGGAAGCAGGTGAAACTCCGATCGTGGATTTGCCGTGGATATCGCTTGGCCATGGATATCGTCGGAGAGATAATCCTCCAGGGTCCGAAGCCGCCTGGGTACATTCGTTAACCAACGCCCTCACCGTAGGGGGGAGGCCTTCTTAGAAACGCCCTGCTCCTCAGACGGCGCGGGCCTTATCTGCAGATGTAGGTCCAGCGCCTTCTAAGAGGCAGCCTTCTTCCAGGAAGCCTTCCCCTCTTGCCCTGCCCCCTGGTGCGCGCTGCCAAGTGACGACGACGAAGACGACGACGACGACGACGACGACGACGACGACGACGACGACGACGACGACGACGGCGGCGGCAGTGCAGTAGCCGCACAGTGTGGTGAGTCAGTTGGCACTGACAAGGCGAGACGGGGCGCCCCTGAGCGAGGGGCAGGGGGAGATTCGCCAATTGATCAGGCGTGCCTAAGGGGTTCTTACTTGGTCCAGGGTTGGTGCCTCGGGTAGCTACTTTACCCGTTCCTCGGAGGTTCCCCAGATTTCTCGGGTTCCTCGGTTTCACAGGTTCCTCAGGTTCCTCGGGTTCCTCGGGTTTCTCGGGTTTCTCCGGTCCCTCGGGTTCCTCGGGTTCCTCGGGTTCCTCGGAGGTTCCCCGGATTTCTCGGGCTCCTCCTCGGGTTCCTTTGGTTCCTCGGGTTACTTTGGTTCCTCGGGTTCCTCGGGTTGCCAAACAATAACAAACGATGCGAAGCAATGCCAATCACAGTCAAGTCATGCCAAGCAATGCCAATCACTGCCAAGCAATGCCAAGCAATGCCAAGCACTGCCAAGCAACGCCAAGCAACGCCAAGCCACGCCACGCATCGCCAAGCAACGCCAAGCAATGCCAAGCAATGCCAAGCAACGCCAAGCAATGCCAAACAATGCCAAGCAATGCCAAGCAATGACAAGCAATGCCAATCAATGCGAAGCAATGTCAAGCAACGCTAAGCAATGCCAAGCAATGAAAAGCAATGGCAATGCCAAGCAATGCCAAGACAAGCCAAGCAATGCCAAGCGATGCCAAGCGATGCGCTCAGCGATTCGCCCATGCAATCGGCTTTTCCCAAATCGGCGTCGCGGCGGGTTTATGTGTTTTGTTTCTTTTTGCATCTGGCGTTTCCGCCTGGTTTCGGGCCCCACGACCCTCACAGATCGCTCCGGCTCGAACGATGACGCAGGAACATGCGGTCTGAGGCTCCCGTCGCGTTTTTTCGCGATATTGAGTCTTTCGTTTCGCGAAGTCGGATCTCAGGGAAGGGAACGACTAGGCCAGGCAAAATTCAACCTGGCCGAGGTTTTTCTGGCCGAGTTTAGTTGCTGCCGGCTCGGTGTGACCGCGCGGTTTTGGGACTCGGGTCGTTCTCCGAGGACGTCTCTGGCGACCAGGGTCTTCGAGGTCCCAACACTCGGTGGCGAGCGATGGGGGGACGTGAGAAGGGGCGGGCCTTCTCAGAAGGCTCGGAAGTCCCCCTGGCCTTTGAAAAGTGTTCTAAGCCTCCCCCGCAGGCGCAGAAAACCTCTCAGAAGGCCAGATGGCTTTGAGAAGCCCCGTCGCCGTCTGAGAAGGCCTCCTCCTTCTCACTTCCCCCCCTTGCTCGCCGCCGCAACACGGTGCGGTGACAGATCGTGCGGTGAGGTCTTTGGGACTTCCGAGGTCACCGCACGGTCCGCCGCCGCACCGTTCTGGGACCCCCAGGCGAGCAGCGCGCTCTCTCACAGGGAACCGCCCCCGGCATCGGCATCACCCAGACATGCTTCATTTTATGTGCGCGGCGGCCCAGAGCAGCCACGCGCCGAGGGGGGTGAGGGGGAGGGGGGAAGGCTTCTTAGAAGCACCCTGCTTCTTAGGCGCGGGCCTTGTCCGTTCCAAACCGCTCGAGGCGAAAAGTTCTTGTGCCCCAGCGCCTTACTGTGCCTTGGGGCACAAGAGTGACACGGCTGCTGATGTTCCCTCCCCCTCTCATCTCCCTTTCCGCCGCAGCCGGGACGGCGCAGTGCTTTCGGTCCCAGCCCCAGACACGACGACGAGGAACCGAAAGAGCCCCAAGAGGCCACCAGAAGGCCCCTCAACGCTGAAGCGCATCCAAAAAATGCAATGCGGTGCAAAGAACATGCTGCCGTGTGGTTGTCGCGGACATGTGCGCTTCAACCTTCCCTAAACCCCCAAACCACGCTTGGCTCGCACGCGGAATTCTAAGCTGAATCTCTAGCAGCGCGCCACTACAGCGCAAAGAGGAAATCCAATGCACGGAAAATCTGCGATGCAAAAAAAACGCAATGCAAAACACATGGTTTCGTGTGGTGGTCGCCGACATGTGCGTTTCAACATTCCCTGAACCTCCCCGAACCACGCTTGGCTCTGACGCGGAATCCTCAGCTCAAGCTCGAGCAGCGCCATTGCAGCGAAACAGAAATTGCAAGACAGAACACATGACACTGCATAGAAGCATTACAGCGAAGACAGCACGGCAATGCACCAAACAATGCTTTTGTGTGGTGGTCGCCGACATGTGCGCTTCAACCCTCCCTGAACCTCCTCAAACCTTGCTTGTCTCGCACGCGGGATCCTAAGCTCTCCAGCCGCACCGCCACAGCGCAACAAATATGCAATGCAAAACAAGTTGCCATGCAATGATAGCCAGAGTCCAGTATCCCTAAACAACGTTTTTAGAGCCAGGGTGCGTCCTGAGTGTGTTCGCGCGTCCCCCAATGACCGTTCTCCTGCTCTTAACCAGCATGCCCCGCTGTCATCCTCGTCATCGACATGCTCCTCCTGGAAATCATCCTTCTCGTCTCTCCGGCCTGCCCTCCCACTCCACCTCTTTCTCCCCCCTCTCGTCACGTTCCTCCTGATCTCGTCTTTCTCATCCTCCTCCGTCTCGGTATCCTTTCATTTTTCTGATCTCGTCGCACTTCACATTCTCCTTAATATCCTGGTTCTCTCCCTCTTCCGCCTCATCGTCGTCATCCTCGGCGTCCTCCTCGTCCTCCACTGACTGTACTTCCTCACAGCGTTGACCCGTTCCTTCTCGTCGCCGTGCTCCTCCTTGTGGTGCTGCTGTTCCTCCTCCCCCGTCTCCTCCTCTTTCCTCCTCCTCGCGGCGTGACGCCCAGCCGCCGCCGCATCCCGGGGGCGGCAGCCCGGCGTGCGCCAAGCGGGGCCGCGTCGTCGTCGGCGTCGTCGTCGTCGGCGTCGCCGTCGTCGTCGCTGCGTTGGTGTGAGGAGGTGGGTGCGGCGCCGCGGCGACCAGCAATGGGCCCCGCCCCGGCAAATCGGGCGGAGTTGGCTTCTGCCACAACGGCCGGACCGCCTCGCGAAAGGCAGCCCGGAGCCCGGAGTCGCGAGGATGCCTCAAGCGAATCGGGCGGGCGGTGATGAAGGAACGGGCCCTAAATGGGCACTTTAGGTCCACCATAGGGCCCCTGCTGGTTCCAAAAGGGGCCCTAAGGTGTCCCTTGAGGGTTCTTTTCTTCACCCCCCAGTTGGGTCACCCCCTATTACCACCCGCCAGAGCGAAACGGGCAGAACCACCTCCCGCGCGGCATCTCGGAGCTCAGAGTTTCGAGGATGTCTCAGGCGAAACGGGCCGGACACCTCGCAAGCGGCATCTCAGAGCTCCGATGTAGAAGGACGTCTCAGGCGAAACGCCCAATCCTGGACAGCTCAGAATCAAGAGTTGTGAGAATGCCTCAGGCGA